AAGCAGTTTTCTTTCACTGAAGGAAAACCAGGCGGACAGAATGTGCAGAAACCTGGACTGAGTAACACGGCACACTCTTAGTAAAGTTTATATGATTTTTAACTTCGAACCTGGAATGACCGCTTTCAACCATTGCACACTGTAGGTGCTGGTGGAGGTCGACTGTCCAGCCTCCTCTTTTGGGATCTTGATGTCTCGCAGAATTCATCCTGAGGAAAAAGATATAGAATTTTTTACTTCCGGGATCACAAACTGGATTGGAAAGAAGTGTCTGGATAAGTGCAAAAATCAGGATCTCTCTGGAGAAAAATAAAACAGAAATCTCTCTGTTAAAATATCATAGAGAGCTTATTTAAACTTTTAATTTAATTTTAAATGCTGATTTTCTGTCAGCCGTCTGGGGATCATGTCAGACTGCATCCATAAAATTCATCAGACAGCATGGTCGAATGGCATACGCCCTTGCATTACTCCATTCGTATACCCGGCGGCTCTTTTGTTCACGGGTCGACGAATTGTTGTCCGTTTATCGGCTGGTTGCACCAAAACACAGCTGAATGAATTCTTTGCTTAGCGAAATTAGCGGTTAATGATAAAATTTTGCGCCGTTATGGGACTCGAAGTGCAAAGCGAAACTACAATCCGCTCGGTCAGTGTTCTTCTATTTAACTGTTTGTTTGTAGATTTGTCTTTTTAAAGTCAGGTCAGAAATGTTGAGATAAAGTTAATCTTCTTGAGTTTCCACGAGAGAGAAACATGCTGTCAGATGTTCCAGTGACATGATAACCATATAATGACAAGATAATGGACAAAACATTCTATATAAAAATGACGAAGAAAGAGGCGCTTGATTCAATTCAGATTGCCTGTGTTCTCTGTTACTGTTCTTTGTAATAATCATCTTTAACATCCTTGCAAATCTACGGACTGCTTAAGGCTTGTAATGTTCGCTCATCTTGAGGTGATGGATTTCTTGGCCACAAATTGTTTTTCCCATTGTGGACATTAATCTCTCATTGCGTAATGTTTTCTGAGAAAAAAGCGAAGAAGTTTAAGAGAAATTTCGGAAAAACGCAAAATGAATTTATGATACCATATGATCCAACGTCTATGGTCTAATTGTGATATTATTTACTATCTCTTAGTTACCTTTCACCAATACCCAATGGATAGGACATCTGTCTGTTAGCGGGATTTCCGATCTTCGAAGTTTTACGGTGCTACGCCCACATAAGGAGTCAGCGTTGATCTTAGAGAGTCTGATCAGCAATTTCGCCACACTCTGAGTATGCAGCAGCTCTTTCTGATAGTAATAACTGGCGGCCCCTTCCTTTGAACCTTGTTTCACTTGTCTGTATTTCATGGTTTTCGGATTGTTGGCGGGCGATTAATTTTTCAGTAGCTTTGAAGAGCTACTTGATCTCTGTCTCGCAAGTAACTGGCTCTGGTGGCGCCGAAAGTTGTTGACAAATGTATGGCAGAAAGTTGTCATTTTGACAGGTAAACGTATCGGCATCAGAGCTAGTCAGGGGAACCAGAATCCCGATAAAACCTAATGCACCGTAACGTAAGTTTTGGAAGGAATGCGAAAAGGAATAAAATATCTGCACTGATTACTCCTGTGCGATAAAAATCATACTTTAAACGTATATGCTTCGCTGCACAATTTGAACAACAGTTTTTTAAGGTGAATTTGGCCATTTTCAACATGTTCTATGGTTCTAGACTTTAACTTCTTGCACTTTTTCATGTTGATGGTGAGCAGCTTTGAGATGTTCAGTGAACACATTAAACTCAGTTCGTATCATGGAACAAAGCGATATTTTGCCCTGTTATGAATGTAGAACCTTATTAATGAAGTTTGCACTTCTAGTTAGTCAGTAATTCATCATTTCTGATCTAATTTGCATTAAGCTGCAGACCATCCTCGTAGTCCCGCAATTTGCACTCTGATTTGGGCTTCTATGAGGATAATTTTTTAATTAGCATGTCAGACTCTAAACTCATTAAATTTGAGATTTCAGAGAATGTGGTGAGTTCGGTCTATCAAGCTTACAGATGGACGTCCTGCAAGTGATTGTCCTACGTAAGTTTTCTGAAACTTAACGTTTTCAGCATACTTGAAGTTATGCCTATAGCTAAAATCAGTAGCATAAACGTAACTTACTAATTAATCTGCTTTCGAGATTTTCATTATTTAAAGCCTTTTGTGAAATTATTTGATCCTCGAAGTCTTAGCGGACCATCTGATCAAGCTACTAGTATTTTATCACCTGCGTTGTTTCGATGCATTTCGCTCTCATGATCCTTTAGCAGTTTTTCGTTTAACTTAGGCTTTATGCTTTTCTAGACAACCCACCTAAAAGTATCTACCACAAATACAGACTGAACGGCTCTAGCCTATTACAGAAATCAGTTTCAAAGCCGAATTCCGCGCATTTCGTTCAGGCACATTCGTCAGGCGTCTGCGACATCAAAAGTATAAATTGTTCATTGCTTGGTTGTGCATTTGGTTCACGCGAATTGTTTCAGGTCGCCAGCTGCGCGCATCGGATGGCACCGTTGCATCAACGTCGAACGGAGTTAAGCGGATGCAGCCCGTGGCACCTGCAGCTGTGGCGAGGTGAGCGCCGGTTGAGGGGATGCCTCAGATAAGTGCGTTAGATAGCGGATATGCCTTTTTGAAGTATGTTCAGATGTCCTCTTCTTTACCCGGCTGGTCTTTCATCGAGTTTCTTTCGCTTATTGCGGCAGTGAAGCCTGATAAAACTTTCCTTTATTTGTTGCGATCGTTATTTTGTACAGGATCCTCAGCCACTCGCCATGTTCATACAGTTTGCCAATAAACGCAGTAAATATTTATTCCCCTCCTGTTATGCATTCATTGACTGTGAAATGCCATTCGATTTGATCACATTCATGGCTTACTTAATGCCGTGCATAACCACAAAATAAATACACTGCATATTAGATTGCACGAGGAACTCAGCCGCGGTTGTATAATCAAAGTTAGGCTATTTAGTGACCTCTACCGAATCAGCATACAGATTTAAAAATTGAATATTGTTGCTTCACATGAGAGATTGTCCATGGATTTTATATTTCCTATGGGATTGTTCCACATAGATTTTGAGAGATCATTTATGGACTTTTGAACTATACTGGACTTGCTGTAAATTGCAGTGATAAAAAAATACAACGGTAATTTTTCGCAAGAAACCGACGGGCAGAAGGCCCAGGGGACGGCCAAGATTAATCTGGGGCAGATATATGGAAGGAGTCTGTTCCCGATCCTGTGCCAGAGCCTGAGTTTCGGCAGGAGACAACCGGAGTTTGATGCAGACTCTTTCTATATATTTGCACCACGTTAACATTCGCCGTCCCTTGGGCCTTCTGCCTATCGATTGGGCAAGAAACAGTATTCCTTTCTGGAAGCATTCGCAACATATGCCCGAACCATCGCAGCTGTGACTTTTCAATCTGAAGAAGCAGCGGCTGTACACCAAGGCTCTCGCGGATGTCTGTATTCCGAACCAAATCGAGACGTAACGCCAGCGACTTGTCTCAAAATACCCATTACAGCATCTTGTACAGGGTTCGAAGCTTTTCACTCATGGTCCACGACTCATGACCGTAGGTAAGCACGGAGATACAGATCGACTTGGACACCGTAAGCTTAGTTTTTAGACTCAGCTCTGCCTTAGTTACAGTGGTTCGGACTAGTCCACCCAGAACGCCACTGGCTACTCCAATTTGCCGGTCGACCTTTCCATCATATTTTCCATCACTAGTAAGTATGACTAAGAAGTACTTTAACTTCTCCATCTGGTCCATTGCCTCTCCGTTGATCCGAAGAGAGTAACGGGCAGTAAAACGAAGAGACACTAGGCTTTTCTTTTAGAGGCGTTCACACGCATGCCGGTCACGTCGCACTCGGCTGCGAACCATTACCGGCAGCACTGTAGATTAGTTTCAGAAGATGGTAATAAAACAAGGTCGTCTGCAAACAGCAGCCTTTTCGTGTTCACAACTCCTACACCGATACACTCATCGCCTTGGCTGCTCCTGACTATTCTGTCCATGAACAACGCAAACGGAGGAGTGGACAGGACGCAGTTTTGGCCCTGACTAGTGCCAACGTTAAAGGCTTCGACTAAACGCCATTTACTCTGACGCAGCACCAGCTGTCAGAAGACAGTGATTGGATGGCCCGTTGCAGCTGGCTATCTATCCCGTGTGCTCGCAGGCATGGCTACAGACTCTGGCATGGGATCCGGTCATAGGCTTTCTCTAGGTCAACAAAACGCATGTGCACCGGTTGGGCGAACTCAGACGATTTCTCAACACTCTAGCGGAGGGCAAATATATGGCCAGAGGTGCTTCGACCGGGCCGGAAGCCACACTGCTCTTCTTGTATCTTGGAGTCAGTTATTCCGCGGCACTTTCCTTCTAGCACCTATGCGTAGACTCTGCCTGGGAACCTCAGTAACTTTATGTCCTGATAATTGGAACACTCCCTGTGGTCACCCTTCGTGAATAGGGGTCAACAATTCCCGTTCTACAGTCCGTAGTCATTGCCGTTTGACAGACACGTGTAAGCCAGCACATGCGTTGTTTGCCTAATGCTTTTAACATTTCAGGGCGAATTTCACCAATTTCCGCAGCCTTTCCTCTTATCATGCTTTTCGCAGCTTATGTAATTTCATTTACAGAAATAGTAATATGCGTTCGCTGCTGCTCCTCAGGCGAGTCTTCCTGCGGTTGCTCGGGGTAAAAAATTTTTCTGCCAAAATACGCCCGTCGGTGTCCGACGCAGTTGCAGCAGCATATTCGTTAAGGCTATGGTCCGCTTCACAACTGTAATTGTACGGTTTGTCCGTCTGTCTATACGGTTGTGAAATTCAGATGTTACAGCTACTACTGCATTACAAATCTGATTCCTCCTGTGTTATTCTGTTCCTAGCCAAATCGAACTACCGCCTTTCTAGTTGCCGTCGATCTTTTTTCGCCGTCATGTTTTGCTGAGACCAACAATGTCGCAAGGCATCCCTGGCCTTTCTTTCATTAGTTGGTTTGACGTTTCTTCCCTCGCCATTGTTCTGCAGTTGAAGGAGAAAATGGCGAGAGAAGTCTGGGTAAGTTTTCCAGGTGGCGGCCTTTCACCTGGGATTTGTAGCAGTCTTTCGTCAGTCGAATACCGAACTGCTGCTGTGGAACGGGTCGAAAGGCGCACAGAGTACTGGTGCCCCAGATTTAAGATTAAGATTTATTCGTGTTGTCATGGCGCATGAAGTTTTGCACCCGCTGACAGCCGTGGTGGTGGTCTGGAGAATTGCGTACATACGTGTCTGCCAGTTCTTTCCGGTATTTTAGCGGAATTAACTCTTCTAGCCTTTGACGAACCAACATCTAACCACAAGGCCGTGGTGACATTGGTGGCCGTTTTTCTTCAGCGGGTCAATTTCGCATCCACGC